CTCTGGAGGCTTGAAGAAAATACTGGTCCAAAATAAATACAGTTCAGTTGTTACAGTCTTCTTAAAGAAATTATTTTTCGCGGTGCTGGGTCTTCGTTGCTGTGCACAGGTTTTTTCTAGTTGTGGCCAGCAGGGCCTGCTCTCTGCATGGTCTTCTCCCTGCAGTGCCTTCTCTTGTTGTAGAGAATGGGCTCTAGAATGCGCAGCCTCAGTAGTTGCTCTGAGGCATGTGGAACCTTCTAGGACCAGAGATGGAACACCTGCATTGGCAGGCAGATTATTATCCAGTGTACCACCAGGGAAGTCCAGGTGTTATATTCCTGATGGTTCTCATGGGGGAGGGGACTAATGTCTAAGACCTGCTCTGTGAGACTCGTGTTCAGTTTGGGGATCTTTGGTGGGGTTGGGGGGTTGGGGGAGGGAGTGGTAACAGTACTACCAAAGAAAACACGCTTTATTTTACAGCGCTTAGGGAACAGAACCTTGACCTGTCTCTCAAAACATGTTTTGATACCACAAGGGCTGTTTGTATCAGAGTCACTTAGGAAAGGGAGAGGCTTCTTAAACATTCTCATTCTGGGGCCTCCTTCCTCTTCTACTAATTCAGAGTGTCTGAGAGACTGGATTGGGAAGTGATAACTTTTCAGTAAGCACCCCTGTTGATTCTCAAGTACCCCTAGAGTTGATTCTCAAGTATCCTAAAGTCCTCTTCATTTTTCATGCTTAATTTCTGTGGTTTATTAGATGATTGCTATTTGGTTGACATTCATTGTCCTTTTTGAAGAGTAGGTACTCTAATTTAAAGAAAAAAAGGTGGGGGGGAGGAGTTATGAGATTCCTAAACATCCAGGATTAGAATTCGGCAGTGTCTCTAATTATCAACAAAGTAGGAAAGCCACTGATTCTTGGAAATTTTGGTTTATCAATTCACTGTCTTCTCAGTCAGTAAAAGGATGTGGGGGAAAAAATAGAAAAAGGATGTGGACATAAATAAGATTAATTTTGTTAAAAAGAGGAAATGTGCAGTATTACTTAGGATGCCAGAAATGGGGAAGCAAGTAAAAGGGGTGGGTGGAGAGGAAAGAAGGGGAAAAGATTCAAGTAGTTTATAAACAGTAAACAATTTAAAACTTGAAACTGGATTTTAAATTTGTTCAGTTGCTCAGTCGTGTCTGACACTCTTTGGGACACCATGAATTGTAGCACACCAGGCTTTCCTGTCCTTTACTGTCTCCCAAAGTTTGCTCAAAGTCATGTCCATCGAGTAGGTGATGCCATCCAGCCATCTCATCTTAGTCCTCCGCTTCTCCTCCTGCCTTCAATCTTTCCCAGCATTAGGGTCTTTTCTAATGAGTTGGCTTTTCCATCAGGTGGCCAAAGTGTTGGAGCTTCAGCCGTCAGTCCTTCCAATGAATATTCAGAGTTGATTTCCTTTAGGATTGACTGGTTTGATCTCCTTACAGTCCAAGGGGCTCTCAAGAGTCTTCTCCAACACCACAGTTCAAAAGCATCCATTTTTTGGTGATCAGCCGAAGAATATTTGAGTATATGCTTGTTGTAAAAAAGTATTCAAACATTGATAAAGCTAAAATACCTTCTTGATCTGCTCCCATTTCAGTTCCCTACCATATCTTTCTGTACATATTTGGTAACTTTCTATGGATTTGGAAGACTACAGAATCCTAAGAAATGAGTAATTTCTTTTGACACCTGCTTGTTTAAAATGTTAAGATCTATCAGAAAAAAACCCCAAAGGTGGGCTATAAATGACATGACATACTTCTGTTCACGTAAAACAATGGGTATGATGTTTGTAGAAAGAGTGTGTGTGTGTGTGTATGTACATACACAGAAATGCATACATACACACATGCATATATTAAATACCTCTTAAGACTACACATCAAAAGTAAACCTATAGAGCCTTGGGTGCTGAATTACTTGTTTGAGTTTTATTTTTTATTTATGTATATACTTTTTTTGCTCTGAGTTTTAAGATAGTATATTGAAAGAACTTAAGCACAAAGCTATGATTGTCTTGCTTATTTCTCATGCAGTCTCATATTCTTATTTTTTTTTAAGATTTTTTAAAAAAATGTGGACCATTTTTTAAAAGTCTTTATTGAATTTGTTACAATATTGCTTCTGTTTTATGTTTTGTTTCCTTGACCATGAAGCATGTGGGATCTTTATTCCCTGACCAGGGATCGAACCCATGCCCTCTGCACTGGATGGCTTGGGAGGTCCCCCAGTCTCACATTGTTAGAGTTTCCATTTAACCTTATAAAATCTCAAGTGCCTGAAGCCATTAGTTCAAATGTAGCGTCTTTTTAAAGCTGTCCATCTGTAATCCTCAGCCTTTCCTGATTAAAAGAGGGAATGCCGATGAAGCGCGGCTATATTTGGGGGGAACTGTTCAGAACTGTGCAGAATCCCACAGAGGGAAAGGGTAATCTGAGACAGCCCTCCTCACCTGCTGAGTGGCGCTTATCTTAGCAGAATTTTAGGAAGTTCTCTTGCTTCTGTTGCTCCTCACATCATTTACATTTATTTCCTGGGCACAGGACCAGCTGGACTTTCTCTTCCTCATTTAAAGTTTTCTGATATAGAATGAGTCAGAAGCTTCTGACAATACTCAGTCTTTGTTTCCGTATTCGTCTCTACTCTGTGCACCTTGAAAGCTGCTCCATCTTAGGATGTTTGTGGCTTATCGTCAACGACAGAAATATGTTTTAAAGTGTGGTCCGTGAGATAATGGCTGTCGGCCACTGTAAAGATGCTTCTGTCATTGGAAGGACTAATTAACACATACCATAGGAGAACTTCTTTAAACACAGCTATTTTCTGAAAAAAGGAAAACACTGAAGGGGAGGAAATAAAGGAGGGAACATTTTATAAAACCTTCTAAAAGCCCAGCATGGTTATCCTGCTGGAATAATGTAATTAAGGGACATTGAGTTGGATAAATACCTTTTTTTTTTAAAACTAGCTCCGTGAAAAGGAATTGAATTAAATAACATAGTTTTTGAAACCCTAATTCTGACAATCTACGTGTACATTTTAATGAATCCTAACGTTTACTGAAGGACCGACTGGATTGGCGGCTACATCCAGAGTCCGGTGCCTTGAGAGACCTACCTGACGGGATGAACAAGGCTAGGTGTGGTGGCCTTGAGAGTCCGTGCTGAGCAATAGCTGATGACCGTGGGAAATTTGGAGCAGGGAACAGAAGGATCTGATATGTACTCTAGTTTCTTTCTTGTCAAGTGAGCACACAGGGGAAGCAAGGACTTAATCTTTTGTTTTCTTTGTCTAGCGCCACTGCCAGTTTTAGCCTGCCAGGGCAAATTCAATAATAATTAATAGCTGTTGATGAGCCAGTTGTTCTAGAATCGATTTTTTTTTTTAAGCTGACCAATAAATGAGACTTGCCATAAATTTAAGGATTCTTTTTTCTTTTAGAAGTAAGTGTTAATGTGATTTTCACAGCCTCCTATGGTTCCTTAAACATCTAGCAGGTGTGATGGTGGATATTAGCATAGAGACTGTATGACAGCTGATGAAACAACAACCCTCCCATGTATCTGTGTTAATTAGAGAACATGAGTTGTCTCTAGAAACAGAGAGGTCAAAGAAGGCCTGGTGGGGAAGGAGCAGTGGGCCTGGTCAGAGCTGACAAAATTCACTCTAATGATGTGACCAGCCAGCCCTCACTGGGCACGTTCCCTCAGTCCTCTGACCCAGCTGCTCCAATTTGTAAACGTGAAGTGACTTTCTTATCAGCTTCTTGGGGTAATCTGCAGAATTTCAGTAATCTTGCTGTCCTGAGCCCCCAGGCTGTTTTCAGATGAAATTTCAGAAGGTAACTGGCCACAGGAGCTTCCCTGATGATCAGCAGCCTGGGAATAGGTCCACCTGCCTCCTAATAACCAGCTTTCAATTTAAAAAAAGAATCAGTGGGGCACCTCTTCTTTTCTGGGTTGCAGTTGATTGCGGTTGGCTCAGGCTGAGTTGTTTGGGAAATAGAGTCTTGCCTGGCATGAGTCAGCACTGCCCTGGGTAAACCGCCTGCTCTGTTGCAATCTTGCTTACCAAAGATACGTCCCCAGGCAGCACCATTCACTGCCTGAAAGCTACTGCTGTTGGCTCCCGAGATGATCTCATCTCAACGGGGCTCCAAAGACCTCAGCAGCGGCAGGAACCGAAGGCAGCTGGCTGTCTGCCCTGGCCATGTTTTGAAACAGGCAAAATCAGGTAACCCCAGACTCTTCTCTTGAGTGCCATGAGCTAGACCCAGCTGCAGCAGAGACGGGAGTGAGCCTTGGTCTTTAGGAGTGAGTCCATGCCAGATCGATCTGGTTGTCTGAAAGTCAGTCCTTGAGCTCTTCGGAGGGGACATGAGGGGAAGAGTTCATTTTGTTTGGGATGTGGTTTTGGACCTAATAAGACCGCTTTTTATATAACCTCAGAGAAATAAGAAATGTTAGGTTTACAGCTTCATCCGTCTTTTGCCCTTGTAGTCTCTGTTCTTTCTGTGTCTTGTGAGAACTGGTTTAGTCACACTAACCCATTCTTAGAGAGGGGCATATGCGTTTGCTTTCCTACTTACTGATGTGACTACTGAGTTGTAGAGAACACGATCTTAGCAGTCCGTTTCTGATGTGTTATGAAGAACCTCCCCCCTTCCCTCACTCTGTTCAGACTGCTGCCCTATTTCCTTCCTGTTCTTCACCTCTAAACTTCAGAGAGCTTCGGCCTCATCACTAGGCAGTAATACATCCACTCCTTCAAGTTTGCCCCTGCTTCTTGCAGTTATCCCTGGATGGTCTGTGTTCTCTTTTACTTCAGGCCTTTGCACAAGCAAGCGTTCTCTGAGACACCCTGACCCAGCATAACCCGGCCAACTGGCGCTAGCCTGGAAGTCACTTCTGGGAGGCCTCCTCTTACAACCATTCACTGCCTGAAAGCTGCTGCTGTTGGCTCCCGAGATGATCTCATCTCAACGGGGCTCCAAAGACCTCAGCAGCGGCAGGAACCGAAGGCAGCTGGCTGTCTGCCCTGGCCATGTTTTGAAACAGGCAAAATCAGGTAACCCCAGACTCTTCTCTTGAGTGCCATGAGCTAGACCCAGCTGCAGCAGAGACGGGAGTGAGCCTTGGTCTTTAGGAGTGAGTCCATGCCAGATCGATCTGGTTGTCTGAAAGTCAGTCCTTGAGCTCTTCGGAGGGGACATGAGGGGAAGAGTTCATTTTGTTTGGGATGTGGTTTTGGACCTAATAAGACCGCTTTTTATATAACCTCAGAGAAATAAGAAATGTTAGGTTTACAGCTTCATCCGTCTTTTGCCCTTGTAGTCTCTGTTCTTTCTGTGTCTTGTGAGAACTGGTTTAGTCACACTAACCCATTCTTAGAGAGGGGCATACGCGTTTGCTTTCCTGCTTACTGATGTGACTACTGAGTTGTAGAGAACACGATCTTAGCAGTCCGTTTCTGATGTGTTATGAAGAACCTCCCCCCTTCCCTCACTCTGTTCAGACTGCTGCCCTATTTCCTTCCTGTTCTTCACCTCTAAACTTCAGAGAGCTTCGGCCTCATCACTAGGCAGTAATACATCCACTCCTTCAAGTTTGCCCCTGCTTCTTGCAGTTATCCCTGGATGGTCTGTGTTCTCTTTTACTTCAGGCCTTTGCACAAGCAAGCGTTCTCTGAGACACCCTGACCCAGCATAACCCGGCCAACTGGCGCTAGCCTGGAAGTCACTTCTGGGAGGCCTCCTCTTACTCACCAAGACTGGATGAGTGCTCGGGAGAACCCTGTGTTTCCCTGAATCACAGGATATGTTTGAGAAGCAGCACCAGTTTTGTTAGAATTATATCCAATGTGCTTGGCACACGGTTCTCAGGAAGGGGAGCGCGAACACGAACCTACACTGAACTTCCTCAGCTCTGATCCTGTTAGCAACTCTTTGTTACTTTGACTTCTATCCCCATCACCCTGTTTCTCTTTTCCTGAAGATTGCAAGGAAACTCCTGATTTCCAGACCCAGAGTCTGTCCTGATTTCAGCCTCCATCTCAATCTCTGCCTACCATTTGGCACTATCGAACCGTTCTTTTTATCCCGCCCCCAGCAGCCCTCTTCCTGTGACTTTGAGGCCACTTTGTCTCTCTGAGTCTCCAGAGCATCCTTCCATTGTTTATTCTCATTTTCTTTTGGTTAGTCCATAAATGTTGAGATGCTCCAGGGCCTTGGGTTTCTTTCCCTCTTCTCCTGCCCACTTCCTCTAAAGACCTCAGATAGGTCCATGAATTCAGCTGTCTGCCCTCAGTGTGCCTTACCAGCCCAGTTGTGTCTCCCAAACTTCAGATCCTTATTTCCAACTTGACAAGTCTTTAAAAAATTTTTTAATTTGTTTTTAATTGGAGGATAATTGCTTTACAATATTGTGTTGGTTTCTGCCATATATCAACATGAATCAGCCTTAGGTATGTGTGTGTTCCCTCCCTCCCATCTCCTACCCCATCCCATCTCTCCAGGTTGTCACAGAGGGCCGGATTTGAGCTCCCTGTGTCATATAGCAAATTTCCACTTGCTATCTAGTTTTGCATACATAGGTTTCAATGCTGTTCTCTCAGTTCGTCCTACCCTCTCCTTCCCTTCTTGTGTCCACAGATCTGTTCTCTGTGTCTGCATCTCCATTGCCACCCTGCAAATAGGCTCATCAGTACCATCTTTCTAGATTCCACATATATGCGTTAATATACGATGCTTGTTTTTCTGACTTATTTCACTCTGTATAACAGGCTCTAGGCTCATCCACCTTATTAGTTACTGAATCAAGTGCGTTCCTTTTTATGAGTAAGTAACACCAGCTTGACAAATCTTGACAGGCTCTGTCCAGCTGGGTCATTCAAAACTATCAGAGTCATTCAAAAGCCATTTTAAATTCAACACGTACAGAACAAGTCATTTTCTCCCTCCCCAGTATCTGTTATCTGCTCATGTTGCTGTATGTTTGAAGTCTGTTGATTATATGCACCAAATCTTCTTCTTTCATTCTTCTTATGCCTCACATCTCATCTATGGTTGCTCAACCCTTTCGATTATATCAGAGTGTTTGACGTGTGTCTTTTCTTCATTCCCACTGTACTGCTTTCATTTATCAGAGGTCAAAAACTAGATATTTTGTTTAACCAGCCCTGAAGCTTAAAATTTTGCGTGTGAACACTTTGAGGCAGGGCCTGCTCTCTGCCAGGGTTACAGATACTCCCCGGTCTTACACAATGAAGATGTCACATTTTACGTACTTTGCCTCTAGGAATTTGCTTTTGTAACTTCTGATTCAGAGCCTTATCAAACCTTATGTGCTTTTATCATGTCACCCTACATCTTCCTGTGCTTCAGTACCTCTCATTTCTTGTTGCCAAAGTTGTGTTACTAAAGGCCAAATCTAATCTTCTTATTCTCAGGATGTCAGAATGCCGTTGGTTCCCTGTTTCCTACTTAGCTGGAGAGGTAAAATCCTTTACAGTTTGACCCTACCCTACCTGTTACTCTTGCTTGTTTTATTTCTAATTTTTAAATTTTCTTTACTTTTTCTTTCTTTTTTTTTTTTACTTTTTGGCTGTACTCTGTAGTATGGGGGATCTTAGTTCCCCAACCAGGGATTGAACTGATCCCTCTGCATTAGAAGGCAGAGTCTTTCTTAACCACTGGACCACCAGGGAAGTCTCAACTCTTTCTTGTTTTACCTCCTTCCCTCTCCTCTTCCCGGCCATTTCTCCTTTCTCCAACTTCACTGACCTTTTAATTTCTCCAGTCCCTGATTATACCACGTCCTTTTAGGACACTGCCTTTTCCTAGGGGGTCCCTCCTCTGACAGGCAAAGTTAGTCATCCCCTAGGAGACCTAGTTCATATGTTACACCTTCCCTGACTTCCTCCGGTAGAGTTCTTCCTTTATTTGAACTTCTGCAGCAAAGCCTGTCTCTTTTGGATTGTTGAATTCCTTCACTGAACCTGGTCCTTGACCTAAAGCTTAGCACCGTCAGACAGTGGTTGAAGTGGATCCCCAGGGTCAAACCACTAGCCTAAACATCTTTATTAGACTTGGCAGTATTAGAAAATCCACAAACTCTCTAGTTAGAAAACGTGGTTTTGGTTCCTGTTTAATGAACTTGAGCCCATAGTGCCTGTTCCGTATATGTCACCTGGAACCCTCAAATAACCATCCAAAGTTATTTTGAAGATTGATAGGACTTCCTGAAACCTAGTTCTAGATCATCACCTAAGTAGTGGAGTACCTTACAGAGTTATTCCCCTGTGCCATTTTATTTGATACCTATAAGACCCTGTGTTGGGTAGGCTTTATTATGCCTATTTTATCGGTGATTGTAAAACTGCTTCTGATTGAAGCATACATTCAGGTAAGACTCAGAGGGAAAACATGCTTTTACACTGTGGCTTCTCTCTTTGTAGTTAAATATACCTTGTTGGGTTCTACAGAGAAGGCTGTGGTGGTTTAGTTCCTAAGTCATGTCCATATATGTGACTCCAGGGGCTGTAGCCTGCCAGTCCCCTCTGTCCTGGGGATTTTCCAGGCAAGAATACTGGAGTGGGTTGCCATTTCCTTATCCAGGGGATCTTCCCGACCTAGGGATCGAACCCATCTCCTTCATTGGCAGGTGTATTCTTTACCACTGGACCACGAGGAAAGCCCGGACAGAAAAGATGCCTTTGCTCAATAGGTGAGTGCTAAAGGTCTTATCTTTTTGTAAGGTCACTTTATCTTCAGGGTGGATGGAGGAGGTACCTAGAGCTTGCTTGGCCTTGAAGAGGCCTGGACCGTGGTCAGAGACCTTGTTCGAAAGGAATGGTACGCGCACTCCAGCCTCTCAATCAAGCTTTTCTGTTGTGCTTCAGATATCTAGAATTTATTAAAATCTGCTCAATAGTAAGTGTCAGACCAGGTTGAGGAGTGAAGCGAGTCATCATAAAATGGGATAAGCTGAGTGTAAGAACAGAAGGAGTTTCACATTAATTCCAGTAAATGATTATGTTTATTCACAACTTTTGGGGGACTAACATGCCATATGTGGGACTCTGGAATTTGATTATAAAAAGAGGAACCATCAGGGGCTGGGACATAACCTCTGGTCTATACTGGCATGTGGGATCCAATTTTGGTCCTCCCATACTTAAGAGAGGAATAAAAATAATTTAAAAGTTTTTAAAAAAGTCTTTATTGTCATATGTTTAAAAAAAAGATTTTAGCCTAGAGAAGCAAGAGCTGAGGGGTGGCTGATTACAATCTTCAAGTCCAAGAATAGTTTTTGCCAGGAGGATTTTGATTAATTGGTCTTCCTATACTTCAAAGATTTCAGAGGAAATGGGTTTCAATTGAAGGAGTGATTTTAATGAATATGAGAAAGAGTTTCTTGATCATCAAAGTTGGGAAACCTTTGAATGACTGCTGAAAGTGCGTTGAATTTCTGACTGTTAATTATCCATGACTGTGTAATAGAGTGTCCTAAAACTTTTGGTGGCTTCAAATGACATTTTGTTTGTGATTCAGTGTGTTAGTAATTCAGAGTAGAAGGATGTACCGCTTTGCTCCACTGATGTTGATTAGATTGGAGGATCCAAGATGACCTCACTCACGTATCTGGGCCTTGGTGCTGTTGGCTGGGACATTTTGGTTGTCCTCCATGAGGTCCCTTTCTCTCATGGCCTCTCATCATTCATTAATCCAGACTGGGCAGCTTTTACATGTGGTATTTGGCTTCCCAGGGGCCCACAATGCAGCTGCAGGACCTCTTAAGGTCTAGGCCTGTGTTTCATACAGACACTTCTGCCCCATTTTTGGTTAAAGTAAGTCACGCATGTAGCGCACATCCAAGGGGAGGGGACATGGACGCCACCTCTTACAGGGTAGAGTGTCCAAGTCACACTGCAGAAGGGCATGCCGCATGCTTGGAGTTATCGTGGTCAGTTTTGGAAACAATTGACCACACTGACCTTAGAGATTTTAAGTGAGATAATTGTATCAATACGTATTTATTGAGTAGATAGTTTGGGCGTATACTTTACAAACTCGGCCGCATATCAGAGTCACCTGGGAGATTTTTATAAGCCTAGTCTCCTTAGGTATCACATATGTGACTCAGTATCTCCTGCGGGTGTTCACACATTCTGCGTCCTTTCTCTTAGGTAACTGTCAGTAAAATGAGGCTGGGGTGAGGGGAGGGAACAAGACCGATTGAGCAGGTATAGTATATGAAGCAGAGCGGCAGGTGGGGACTTCCTTGATGGTCCAGTGGCTAAGACGTCTGGCTCCCAATGCAGGAGCCCTGGTTTGATCCCTGGTCTGGGAACTAGAGCCCACATGCTGCAGCTGAAGACCTCACATGCCCCAACTGAGACTCCGTGCAGCCACATAAATGGGGGATGAAGAAGAAGAATGGTAGGCACCCTAACAGAGGCCTGCTGACGTCCCCGTGCTTCTGGGACCTGGCGGATGACGCCCTTGCCTGACAGCCTCCACCTTCCAGGCTGGAGTCTGTGAGTTACATCTCACTGAGCCAGCGATCATCAGACGAGTGTTTCTTGATGCCTCGCTTGTGTTTTCTCAAAGTTCCTAGCACTTTTTCCTTCATAGCAATTCCTAGTTTATAATGAAATATTTGTGTGATTATTTGACTGGTATATAATAGACAAAAGTAGGTCTGCTTTGCTTTCCAGTATCTTAACATAGTGCCTGTCTCATAAAAGGTACTCAGTAACTATTTGTTGAATGAATAAGTGGTTGATTGAAAACGTGAATGAATGAAGTGAGATTTGAATTGAATTTGGTTTTTCATGGGTGATTAGAATTTTGGACAGGTGTAGCAAACGAATGGGAAATTCACATTCCTGAAGCAGAAATTGTGGGTTATGTTACCCATATAATTTCAGAAGATTGGAGCAACTCGTTTGAGGTGTTTGGTTTTGAGTGTCCTTGGTGTGCTAGATTTGAAGTCTGGATGTCGAGCAGGCATTTGGAAATGGCTGCTAACACTGAAGGGTTAGATTGAGTCCAGATACTTAGATTTGGAGTTGTCTGACTAAGACGGAGGAATCTGTTCAACAAATACTTACTGAGCTTCCACTGTGTGCCAGACAACAGGAGGCTGAGCTGAAGCCTGACTGATAAGGCGCCGACTTTGTGAAGAGCTCTGGAGGGTGTTCCTGGCAGGAGAGGAGCCACAAGTAATACATGAAAATAGTTTTTGTTTTTGAGGGAGTCAAAATAAAAGGAGACCACCAAGGGTCTAGAGTGAGGTGAACGAGAGTGATGGCGGGTAGAGGGTGGGTGTGTGTGTGTTAGTTGCTCAGTCGTGTCTGACTCTTTGCAGCCCCATGTAGCTGCCAGGCTCCTCTGTCCGTGGGATTCTCCAGGCAAGGGTGCTGGAGTGGGCTGCCATTTCCTTCTCCAGGGGATCTTCCTGACCCAAGGGTTGAACCCGGCTCTCCCACACTGGAGGCAGACTCGATGGTTTGAGCCGCCAGGGAAGCCCCGATGGGAACGGGTGGCATGAGGTAAAGTGGGAGAGGCAGGCAGGGGGCAGATCACCTGTGCCTCTGTAGGCCATATAGGGAGTCTAGGCTTTACAGAAGGACACCATGGCTTTCAAGCAGGAGAGTAACAGTATTTTATGTTTTATTTATTTTTCCAGAATGTATCTTTTAAAAGAGAAGTTTACCTTGACTACTGTGTGGAGAATAGAGTGGCAAAGAGGGGACTAGGGTCTTCTCTGGTGGCGCAGTGGTTAAGAATTGGCCTGCCGATGCAGGGGACGAAGGAACTAACATCCCACACACCGATGGGCAACTAAGCCCCCATGTGGTGACTGAGACCCGACGCAGCCAAAAATAAATGAATAAGTAAATATAAAAAAACAAACAGAAACAACAAGAAGAAGGGGTCAGTGAGGAGGAGTTTGCTCTAGTTCTTGAGAAAGATAATGACATATAAGACAGGGTATGGCCATGGACACAGGCGGGATGTTTGCAGGATATATTTTAAAAGTAAATCCAACAGCATTCACTAGAGAAGGAAAGCAAGAATGGTTAGGGCAGAGCCCCAGGGGGCATTTAGGGGACAAAAGGAAGAGCCAGGGAAGGACAGGGAGGAAAATGGGTCTTCAAAGGAGAGCCAGACTATTGTGTTTTCAGTGGGAACCAAAGGGAAGAAGAAGGTAGGTCATTGGTATCTGGGAGGTTGTCGAGGTTTGATTTAGGAAAAAGCCACGCATTTAGTCATCACAAGATCATTGATGACCATGGAGAAAGGGCTTTTAGCAGAGAGGAGCAGAGTTCATGAACAACTGTGTGATGTGGAAGTAAAGTGGAGCACCATCTGTTCTGGGGGAGCGGGGGGAAGCTGGGGATTGAAGAGGAAGAAAGACTGAACTGAGAGCTTACTTTGTGCATACATGTGTGTGTAGAGAGAAGTGTGTGTGTAGAGGCAGGTTTTCTAAAATCTGTGATGGACCAGTATTTACTGAGCATGTACTCTGTGTCATTCACGTTGCTGGGAGCTATACCAAGTCTATTCTGTTTGCCTTTGTCTCAAAACAATTTCCATAGAAGTATGGTGATCTCCAAGATAAATTTCCAAATTCTTGGGACAGATATAACCTTCCTTTGGAGTATGGGAAGAAATTATTAGAGCTCAGTTTTTCTATATTTTTATCTTACCCTTTGAAATTTCTTTTTTAGTATTATGCTTTAGATGGAACACAGTTTATTTGTGTAGTGTTGTTGATCAGTTGCTAAGTTCTGTCTGACTCTTTCTGACCCCATGGACTGCACCATCTTCCAGAGTTTGCTCAAGCTCATGTCCATTGAGTCGGTGATGCTACCCAACCATCTCATCTTCTGCCACCCCCTTCTCTTCCTGCCTTCATTCTTTCCCAAGATCAGGGAAAGATGTTTTCACAACCCTTTTCCAATGAATTGGCTCTTTATATCAGGTGGCCAGAGTATTGGAGCTTCAGCTTCAGCATTAGTCCTTCCAATGAACATTCAGTACTGATTTCCTTTAGAATTGACTGGTTTGATCTCCTTGCAGTACAAGGGACTCTCAAGAGTCTTCTCCAGCCCCACAATTCGAAAGCATCAATTCTTCGACGATCAGCCTTCTTTATGGTCCAACTCTCACATGTTTACATGACTACTAGAGAAACCATAGCTTTGACTATACATACCTATGTCAGCAAAGTGATGTCTTGGCTTTTTAATACGTTCTCTACATTTGTCATAGCTTTCTTTCCGAGTAACAAGAGTCTTTTGATTTCATAGCAGCAGTCACCGTCTGCAGTGATTTTGGAGCCCTAGAATATAGTCTGCCACTGCTTCCACTTTTTCCTCTTATATTTGCCATGAAGTGGTGGGACCAGATGCTATGATCTTGGGTTTTTTGAAAACTGAGTTTCAGGCCAGCCTTTTCACTCTCCTCTTTCACCCTCATCAAGAAGCTGTTTAGTTCCTCTTCACTTTCTGCCATTAGAGTGGTGTCATTTGCATGTCTGAGGTTGTTATTTTTTCTGGCAATCTTAATTCCAGCCTGTGATTCATCCAGCCTGGCATTTCCCATGTTGTACTCTGCATATAAGGTAAATAAACAGGGTGACAACATATACCATGATGTACTGCTTTCCCAGTTTGAAACCAGTCAGTTGTTCAATGTCTGGTTCCTAACTCTTGC